CCTATAAATCAAATGTTTTCAGATCGAGTTACGATTCCCAGATGGGCCGCCAACGTCGCAGACCTCTCTCCCAGGCAGTGTACATCCTACTCGACCAGGATCTGCAGGCACCGCTAATGGTCACTATTTTAGCGATCCGGACCCATTGTTAGAGGAGATTCTCAACGAGGATTATAGTGAAGAAATGGTATGTAGCAACTACTGTAGCTTCCTATAAATTAAATTTACCTATACATCAAAAACAGAAATTCAAAAATATAAATTTAAAATTGGGATCAAGTTAAATTGAATTAAAGTCACAAGAAAAAATCAGATTAAACTTTAAAAAATGATTATTCCTTTATTGTATCAATCCTTTTTTGTAGTGCGGCCTCGCATTTAGCTATCATTTGGAAACGTAGTGGTGGTCCGAATGCGTATGTCGTCTACAATGACTTGCGAAGGCTGACCGAAAGCCAGCGCTTCTGTCCTTCCAGACGAGTTTGTTAACCCAACACGTTAACGACCTCGGAAGGATGGAAGGCTTGGTTGGTCTGGGCGAGTATCGAACTGGGATTCGAGCTCGGATCATGCATGTGTAATGGTGCGCCACGTGCTAAGATACCATGCGGTCCCAAAATTGAACTATATAAAGTAAATTATAAAGTCTCTAGTTTACGCCATGCAATCGGCTTACAATAAGATTTAGGTTGCTAACTGTCCATATATAGAATCAAGTTTATTTCAACGGCAAGTAAATCATTTTATGAGCTGATTCTTATGTTTATACTTAACCCAGCCTTAATGTTTGCTCCGATTCTCCTCTCGATTTATCGAATTTCCCACTACGACAATCCGCATATGTACTGTAGTAGTAACTACTGGATACATGCCGACGATTTTCATATATTGAATATGCTTATTCATCGCTTGCTTGCTCACCGCCCACAGTTGTTCGTTACTGAACGCCAATTCTATCTCTACGCGTCATCGGCATTCACTGATGACGTTCTAAATCACAACATATTTTTATGCCCTCTCGTTGAAAAAGTCCACGTAACCGAATGGTTTACTGGCATACCAGGCACCGCAAATATCGAGGAAAAAATGCATACTGGGCGTTAATCGGCTTATGATAGGCCATGCATTCGGCTATTGGTCTTAATCATAGAGTTGTTCCGCTTTGAGAACCCAAGCGTGATCACTTTCGGGAAGCAGAAGGAATAGACTGCTCATTCAAGCAGAGTTGCAGCTTCCCACATTTATTATGTTCTGAAGAGCCTTCAAGGGGAAGATTATGCTCCACGAATTGGCAAAAATGGCTGACAAAGGGAACCAAGGCCCGGCACTAGCTTTGAAGCATATGGTCTATACTTCTCTGGGGCGGCTATACGTTCTCCAGCCCGTCAAGCAAGGTAGAACCAGGAGCAGAACATCGATCCATTCCAAAAACAGCAATCAGTAGCATCACCCTATAAGACGTCCATGATTCCGTGTAGAATTAAAGAGCAGCGCGTATCCCTGAGGTGTTTAACAACGAACACTTAATCCTTTTGTGTACTGTCCAGATTCTACTCCTTTACAATTACTGTATTCAGAAGGCAGTCGCATCAACGATGACTCCTGTACAGCCATCTACAATCGATATACTGGTCAGCAGATGTCTTTGTCGTCCAAAGCCTCATTTGGAAAGTCATTCATTGAAACGGGAACGAAATCTGCTAGTAGCCTTGAGTACAGGTACATTGAAACCAAGCTTTAATCTTAAATTTATGACCATTATCTTTCCACAAAATTACCCTGAATTCATAGCCGAGTCTAGAGTGATAGGCATAGTAGCTGTGACCATACTCGACGATAAGTGTAGTCGCCACACACGAATTTGATAGAGCACCGATTCATCCGAACAATTTCTACTTCTTAATGATTGCTCGTACACCCTGAGAACAGAGCCACTCGTACACCCCGAGAACAGTAAAGGTAGTCATAATCCCAGTGCAAACCTCGTTGAGATTGTTTCTGATTCAGTGTCTTACTGTAACGCCTCCACATCCCAATGGGCACTACTTCGATCGTTTTATTCGTCCATAGCTGCAATGGTTCCCGACCATTCGATCTCAGTTTCCGAATGTCCACGGAAAGGGAGTCATTGGCAAGTCGTGGGATTTCAAGGTATCACTTATACAATGGCATTGCCCTTCATCAAACACACTACTCACCTGCCTTCTAGGTTCCGATCCAGCTACAGACTTCCGAGGTACAGGAATTCTCGGTTTAATACAGTTGTACTGTATGGCAAAGAATTTGCCCGAGGGTAAACTTGCCGAAATCGTTCATCTGTCACGAAAGGAGCCTCATGTGGGTTATTCACAACCACTTAATCCTATTGTGTTGTTCTATCGCGCTTTCCAGGATTTCCCACTGGCTGTTGTAGGAATAAATATTACAGCGATACTCATTACTAAGCTACGGAACGGGGAGTTACTCGAGTAAGTTATCGCTACAACTAGTCATAATTCCTATTTGGATTCTAGCCTTTCAGATCAGCAGTAACCACCGGCGGATATCTTAAAGCTATGAATAAGCTCTATCAGTCTTGTATACTGTTGTTCTGTAAACAATGGCGAGAAGAAAATTGTACAGTCAAAGATTGTCAACAAATACTGAACCGTAAGTTCACAGTAATTATTTTTAAGAATCATAGGAAATGGATAAAAGCCTATATTTCAGGGCTCGCCTTGTTACTTCGAAATTCTCAGCAGACATTGTTGAATTCGTCATAAATCATGGTGCTTAATAAAAACATTCACATGTCTTCGACTACTTTTACTGGGGTAAACGTCACTTATTGGAATCATGAATTACCCAAGCCTGGGTAACCGTTGGCAAAAAAGAAAGTGTTTGGTCTTATAAAACCCAATAAAAATGTAGCACTCACCGCTTTCCCCTTGTGATGGCCTTCCTTTTTTCCTTTGTAGCGATCCATTTGTTTATGAATACATTATCTTCTTTTACGAAGAAATGCCTGAGTGGACAATTTCGAACCAGAACAATCCCACTCTGTGATCGGATCGGATTCGAAAGACCAATCGTAGAATAATGAGAAGTAAGACTAGACTTGCCTGGGGACCAATAATAGGTGAAGTACGATACGGCCCTGATAGTCACTCTCCAACCATGGTGGATCAACCGACCAACCATCGACACGCTTGAGGCACGACCAGCGTGCTATCGACACCAGGTTACCTGCAAAAATTACTGTCTCGTCCCACACCATTGACTTTCTTCTTTTTATTCACTTTGCAAAGTTAGCTGATAAAATATTGCAAAATCTATATTTTTATTATTGCACCCCATGAGGAATTAGTATGCACCCATTTTAGAACAATTAGGAGTTGCAAGCCTGCTACGATTATTGTGGATAAGGTCAGGATAAGTTAGATAAGGTGTAACATCCACGCCCGATTCTCAAAAA